TGTGCTGTGTTAAGTGCAGCGCTGTGTTGTGTTCTGTCTATTCAAATATATGTATATACATATACATTCATATTTACATACATATATATCTTTATACACGTATGAGGTAATTTCAAACACAACAAATTAGATAAATACAGCGCTGAAGAGGTGTGAGAAGCGCAGAGAGCGGCAATGTGTGGAACAGAGGGAGACTACCCAAAAGACCCGCATCGCAAACATGGCAAACTAACAACAATAACAACAACAACAACAATACGAGATGACATTGACATAATGATTCTTAGTTAACGTTTACGATTTCAAAGTTTCTCTGGTTGTTGTTGCTGTCTTTCAATGTGACTGGGTTCCGGCGTGCGTCGCTTGCGAGACTTTTGACAAGTTTTTTGTTTTGTTGTTGTTATTATACCCTGTAGCCATAGGTAAACCTAAACACAAGGTATTCCAGTTGAAATTCAAGTCTAAGAGAAGCTCATCGAGCTAGCTGAGCTTTCATCGATATATATCGATAAAGGCGGAACTGTAGGTTAGACAAAGCACGAAGGCATGTAGGATAGCACCCTTCATCTGGAGATTTGATAAGTCTCTATATATAGCCATTCGATTACATATATATATATCGATAACTGCTTATACGATTCAATTACAAGCTCGATTAATTGGCATATCAATAAATTAATATTTTTATAGCTACTCTCATAAATAGATACATATATCACTATATCAACTGAAAAAAATATAAAGTTAAAAGCAAATTACTATATAGTATATACCAATCGATCACTTGCAATATCGATTAAACATTATATATTTCAAGTTGTGTGTATATCGACTAAAGCGCTCTCCATCTACTTAGTCCAGCCTATCATATATCTCCACTTTGATTGAGCACTATATATTTCAAGTTATGTATCGACTAAGGGCCTCTCCATCTATCCATCCATTCTATCATATATATATCTCCACTTCGATTTAACATTATATATATTCAAGTTATACATATATCGACCAAAGCTCTCTCCATCTATTTAGTCTCGCCTATCATATATCATGCAATTTTGAACATAGAAACTTTCTAGGGTATCCCATGTTGGACTATCGAATCGAATATTTTGTTGATTCTTATATTTGTCTGTTGATTTGAGCTTGATTCTTTGTTTTGTAGTTTTCCTTTTCTGCGGATCGGAGCAGCTTAATGGGCAACAGACTTAACTTGACTTCAGGCTAAGTAGTTTGCTTGCCTGTCGCTCTTTGTTTTTGGTATTAATTTGTAGTCTCGCTGTGCTTTGTTTTCTCTTCTGTTTAGCTGAAACCCCAAGCCGATCGCCCACCCAGCCACCACAACAAATATTACCAAAAGAATTCTTAATTGCAGGCCTTTGGGCAGTTGGTGTTGGTTGGATTTTTTGGTATTTTGCTGCTGTATCTCACATACGTAGCTCTTGGCCAACTGCATGATGTAAGCCGCCCAATTTGTCTTCAAGTCGTATTCATCAGGTTCGTCCGGTTCGGTTCGGCTGGATTCGGATCGAATCGAGCTGTCCGTCGTCCGGTTCACGTCATAATTCATAATCTTTTGCACAATTTTTTTAAAGCGCTGCGATTTGACATTCAACATTTTTGCTTTATCTGCTTCTTCTTCACTATTTTTTTTTGTTCAAAATTTAAGTCATTCATTCCACAGCTCATTCGTCACCTCAAACAGATGACATATGGTATGTTGGCTTCATAAAGTTCAATAGGGTTTATCTCGCTTTACCCCACCAGCCACCCAGCCAAAGGATGCTCGACTGGGAGATACCCTGCTGAGGACGTATTCAAAATAATTTTAGACTATTATCTGATTATATAATTTGGAGAAGCTTTTAAAGTTCTGTGCATTCTGATATAATATCGATATTTATCGAATTCAGGGTACATTTAAAACATGTTGGCGTTGAAAAAGCCTCCAGCAGGTTCTCTAACCTCTGAAACTTCAATACTATACATCGATAATTATCGATAGATTACTATTTTCCTTACATAGGTATATGACAAATGATAGAAAGCTTGGCTTGAGTTTTTCAAGGCATAAAATAACAACAAATGAGAAAATTCTTGAGTTACCAGAGTTATCGATAACGATAAATATCGCTTTAGCGAAAATTAAGTTTCACCGAGAGAACATAGAATATGGTAACACACTAACATAGACAGATCTATCGTCTAGATTCGGTAATAATTCTTATCCCATCCATATAAATTATTCTCTTCCCACTCTATATACCCAGACTCGCATCGGTACAGAGTATGAAACAATCCGTTGATGACTAAACATTATTAAATGTAATGAAATTTAAGCATGCGTCGTTGTCGCTTGGTACCCCTGACCCAGTAACGACTTTGTAATAGGAACACAAGCACACAGACACACTAATCTTCAACTGTCTGTGTGAGTGTGTTATATTCATATATATATATATCATAAATATGCTTTTGATTAGAGCCGCCAGCCGCCCGCATCAGAGTTGATTTTGTTAATAGGCGACAATCGTGGCGCGGCATTTAATCGAACAACCGTTGCCCCGCCTACCCATCGGCGCGGCTTAAATGAGCCTCACAGTGTTAATTCGATAATTGTGACAGCCGCAGGTACTGCACACTGAACAGAGCTACTTACAAAACGTTGAGCAAATGCCCAAAGAGATTAGACAACTGAGAGAGTCATTTCGACAAAGTAGATCATACAAAATGTGCACCAGCTCTAGAAAGATCACTTAGATGGATCAGATCGATTTCTCATTTGCCATTGCCACGATAAGTGTATATAGATCATAAAAGGAATTGGAATTTACAATAGGATTGAAGCCAGATTGAAGCAGTAAGTAGATTACTAAGGACTCAATGTGGAGGGCTTGAGATCCTTGTGAGCTCGGACTAAGTCAGACTGTATATTGGCAAGATTTTGAACATGATCACTAGACAAGAATTAAATCAAACTCAGATATGATCAGTTCGAGGATTTAGATCGAAGCTTGATCAGAATCTAGCAAGATTTTTAACAAGATCTTCAGTAGCTCGCAGAGCAAACTTTAAATATATATTCTGAAATTGAAAACTATCGATATCAGCCAGCTAAAGTCCAAAACTCAACTAAGAAAGCTAAAATTCTCCAGAGATAGACAAGATCTTCTACTAGATCCTGCTCTAATAACATAACACCAAGTCTTAGCTTAAGCCTAAGCTAATTTGAAATTGAAATGAAGTTTGAGCAAAGTTTACGTCAGCCTGAAAGCAGCGATCACAGCCAGATCAACTCCAAAGTTGAGAAAAAAACAAGTAAGAAAGCTCTAGTCGAGACTGCTCGACTACGAGATCCC